ACAAAAAAATCTCTACAAGTTCAAGAAAATTGAAATCATATCAACTATCTTCTTGGATCACAATGGCATGACACTAGAGAACAATTACAATAAAAACACTCAGAAACATTCAAACACATGAAGGCTAAATAGCATGTTATTAAACAATGAATGTGTTGCTAATGAGATCAATGAAGAAATCAAAAACTTCCTGGAAACAAATAAAAGTTAATACACAACAAGCCAAAATCTATGGGACACAGCAAAAGCAGTCCTGAGAGGGAAATTCATAGCACTACAGGTCTACCTCAAGAAACAAGAAAAAGTTCTAATAAACTATCTAACCCTTCAAGTTAAAGAATTAGAAAAGAAACAACAAGAAAGGCCCAGAGTTAAGTAGGACAGAAATAATAAGGGTCAGAGAGGAAATAAATGACATAGAGACTAAAAAACATACAAAAAAATCAATGAAACAAAGAGCTGGTTCTCTGAAAAAATGAACAAGACTGATGAACCTTCAGCCAGACTCATTAAGAAACAAATAGAGAAGAGCAAAATAAACAAACTCAGAAAAAAAGAGGTGAAGTAACAACTGACACCACAGAGATACAAAGGATTGTCAGAAAATACTATGAACAACTATTTGTCAACAAGCTGGACAACCTGGACTAAATGGACAAATTACTAGAAAAATACAACCTTACAAAATTGAAAAAGGAAGAATCAGAAAACCTGACTAGGTTGATAACAACTGGTGAAATTGAAGCAGTAATAAAAAAAAAACTCCCAGCAAACGACAGCCCTAGCCAGGACAGCTTAACAGGGGAGTTTAACCAGATATGCAAAAAGAATTATAATACTTATTCTCCTCAACCTATTACAAAAATAATCCAAGAGGAAGGAAAACTTCTAAGTTTTTTTTTCAGGAGGCCAGCATTATGTTAATTCCAAAAACTAATAAAGACACTTAAGAAAGAGATTTACACTACCATATCCCTAATGAACACAGAGAATAAAATCCTCATTAAATATTAGCAAATTGGATACAGCAATATATTAAAAAGATCATACACCATGACCAAGCTGTATTTATTCCAGAGATGCAAGGCTGGTACAACATTCGCAAATTAGAAAACAGAAATCACATGATGATATCAACTGACGCAGAAAAAGCATTAGACAAAATCCAACACCCATTTTTTTAAAAAAAAAAAATTTATTTATTTCAGAAAGGAAGGGAGAGGGAGATAGAAACATCAAGGATGAAAGAGCCTCCTGCACGCCCCACAATGGGGATTGAGCTCACAACCGGAGCATGAGCCCTGACTGGGAATCAAACCAAGATCTTCCTGGTTCATAGGTTGACATTCAATCACTTAAACATGTCGGCTGGGCGCCAAAACCCGTTTTTTATAAAAACTAACAGAAAAGTGGAAGTAGAGGGATCATACCTAAACATATTAAAGGCTACATGTGACAAATCTATAGCCAAAATCATATTCAATGTGCAAAAACTAAAACCAATCCTATATAATAAAAAAGAAACATGCAAATTAACCATCCCTCCACTACGCTCACCAGCCAATCAGAGTGAGTATGCAAATTAACCTGACAAAGATGGCAGTTAATTTGCATATGCAGGTGTCACGTGCCCTAGGAGGCAACTGCAGCCACGGGCAACTGGGACCATTGCCGGCCTGAGAGGCGAGACCTGCCACATGCACCAAGCCATGCCCACAGGGTCCCAGGACCTTCGCTGGCCCCAAGAGTCGAGGCCGCCTGTGCCTAGCCACTCCCGCGGGCTCCTGGGACCTTGCCAGCAGAGAGCAGAGCGGGAGAGGAGTGGGCAGAGAGCAGGAAGTTTGGAGGACTTAGCAGAGCAGGAGACTGCTAGACATAGAACAGAGTGAGAGAGAGGGTGGCTTGGAGGGCATGGTTCCCCTTGTCACCCCAGCTTCCTCATCACAGCTGTGGAAACTGACAGCAGGGAGGAGGAAGTCCCACCCCCACAGAATTAGCCAGAATCACCCTTTGGTCAGACAGCTCTCAGCGGCCTGACAGCCAGGACTCTCATTCACCTGCATCTCAGACTGTGACAGTAGAGAGGTGGGACTATGTCTAAAGAACAACTGTTGATATAACGTAGCTCTGCAGCAGAAAGACGCCAGCATTATCAACAGAGAATGTCTGCAGAGCAGCATGCGTCTGATCTTGCAAGAAGGCGGTGCCTGCGATAGGATGTATCTGAACACCAGCTACTGGAAAAATGTCGCTCTGATGCTGAAAAACACCGGCGTTATCGACAGAAAAGACCAACGTGCCTTTGAAGGTGAAAGAAGGTGGTGGCGACATCAGAATATGTCTAGAGAATAGTCATCAACAAGTACCACCAATACCAGTAGGAACTGCCTTCTCAGCGAAAATGGAGTATATGAGGATGCAATTCTCGAACATAGTTGTGATGGAATGACTGTTCGATGTCAATTTTGCCTATCACTAAATTTCTCTGATGAAAAACCATCTGATGGGAAATTTACTCGATGTTGTAGCAAAGGGAAAGTCTGTCCAAATGATATACATTTTCCAGATTACCCGACATATTTTAAAAGATTAATGTATTTAAAAAGGTTAATGACAAACGAAGATTCTGACAGTAAAAATGTCATGGAAAATAGTCATTCCATAAATAGTTCTTTTGCTTTTGCTTCCATGGGTGCAGATATTGCATTGCCATCAGGATATGGGCCGTACTGTTTTAGAATACACGGACAAATTTATCACCATACTGGAACTTTACATTCTTCGGATGGTGTTTCTCGGAAGTTTGCTCAACTCTATATTTTGGATACAGCCGAAGCAACAAGTAAAAGATTAGCAATGCCAGAAAACCAGGGCTGCTCAGAAAGACTCATGATCAACATCAACAACCTCATGCATGAAATAAGTGAATTAACAAAATCGTACAAGATGCTACATGAGGTAGAAAAGGAAGCCCAATCTGAAGGAGCAGCAAAAGGTATTGCTCCCACAGAAGTAACAATGGCGATTAAATACGAGCATAACAGTGACAGAGGTAGGTATAATTCTCCCCATGTAACCGAGGTTGCTGTCATATTCAGTAACGAAGATGGAG